CAAGTTTGCACCTGGGAACTTCTTAAGATATCTAAGAACTCTTTCTGTTGTTTCAAGATGAGTGGTCTTAGGTGCATGCATGAACTGGCTAAGAACATCCATTGCATAAGTAATGTCGAGACGGATCATAGAAAGATATAACAATCTTCCTGTAAGTCTCTGAAACTGTTTTACATCCTTGATAGGTTCACCTTGGCAGTCACCTAATTTATGGTTAGGATCAATAGGGGAATCAACTGGCTTCACTCCCATTTTTCCTGTATCCTGGAGTAGATCTAGGACATACTTTCTTTGGGAAATGAAGATACCCTTTTGTGAGCGGGCAACTTTAATTCCAAGGAAGTACCTTAGAGGACCTAGATCCTTTACTTCAAACTGTGTAGCAAGAAAAGTCAACTTTTGAATTTCATCATTCCAATCGCCAATGATAATTATATCATCAACATATACTATCAGTGCTGCAATTTTTCCTTCCCCTCTTTTCACAAACGTGTGATCAGATTGACACTGCTTGTATCCCTTTTGCTGAACCGTTGCATGGAACCTATTGAACCAGGCTCTTGGTGATTGTTTCAGCCCATATAATGATTTCTTCAACCTGCACACTTTCTGTTCATTACCTTGAGCCTGAAAACCAGGGGGTTGTACCATGTAAACTTCCTCTTCAAGGTCACCATTTAGGAAGGCATTCTTGATTTCGAGCTGATGCAGATCGTAATCAAGATTAGCAGCAAGGGAGAAAAGGATTCTAATGGAGTTCATCTTGGCAATGGGTGCAAATGTTTCTACATAATCAACTCCATGCACTCGTGTAAACCCCTTTGCCACTAAACGAGCTTTATACCGCTCCGCCGTGCCATCAGCCCTATGTTTGACTGTGAAAACCCATTTACATCCAACTGGGTCCTTTCCCTTGGGAAGATCTACTAGTTCCCATGTGCCATTTTTATGTAGAGCATTAATTTATTCCTCCATAGCATCTGTCCATTCAGGCACTGAAAGAACTTTTGCCACATTCTTAGGGATAGGAACACTATCAATGGAAGTGAGAAAGGCCTGAAAAGAGGGTGAAATGTTTTCATAGGAAACAAAGTGGGAAATGGGGTGTTTAGTGGTAAAGATTTAACACCTTTCTGGTGAGCAATAGGAAGGTCAAGGTCATTAGCAACAGAAGTATCAATAGCAATAGGGTCAGGAACATTGATAGGAACCAAGATACCTGAGTGGGTATGATTCGCCCCTGGAGAGTTTGATGGCATTGGAGGTACAACTTCTAGGTTCTCCACAACTCTTGAACATGGTTGGCCTTTGTGACAACAAAAGAAGACACGAAAAGGAGGAGGATCAAGAAGAGGAGGGAGCTTAACCAGTTTCTCCTCATTTCTACACTCCCCCTGAGGAGAAACGGGAAAAAAAGGCTCACTCTCAAAGAAAGAGACATCCATGGAAACATAAAACTTCCGAGAAATAGGATCAAAGCAACTGTATCCCTTCTGAGTGAAAGAATACCCCAAGAAGATGCAAGGAATAGCACGAGGGTCTAATTTTCCACGAGTGGGTGACGGATTTTGAACAAAACAATGACAATCAAACACACGAGGAGGAATAGAAAGAAGGGGAGCCTTAGGAAAAAGAAGCTGGTGTGGGGCTTTGCACTCTAACCAACGAGAGGACATACGGTTGATGAGATAGGTAGCACAAAGGATAGTCTCAAGCCAAAAACGTTTCGGGACATTCATATGAATTAGTAAACCTCGGGCTACTTCAAGGAGGTGTCGGCCTTTCTTTCAGCAACACCATTTTGTTGTGGTGTTCGAGCGCAAGAGCTACGGTGAAGTGAATCACTTGAAGCAAAAAATTTTGTGAGATCACTATGAAAATATTCTTTGGCATGATTTGATTGAAAGATTTGGATTTCAGTTTGAAATTGGGTGAAGACCATCTGTTGAAAATTTTGGATAATTTTTGGTACTTCATACTTGGTTCGCATGGGATATACCCATGTATATTTAGAATAATAATTGATAATGGTAATAAAATATTTGTCGCCACTCTCATATGATAAAGTAACAGGGCCCCAAACATCAGAATGAACAATGTGGAAAGGAAATTTAGATTTATTATTCTTTGAAGGAAAATGAGTTCTACACTGCTTACTCAGTTGACAAGTTTGACAAGAAAATTCTGAAATTGACACCGACTTAAACCAACTCTAGAAACACCACTTTTAAAGACTCAAAAGATAAATGACCAAGACGACAATGCCATAAATAGACCTGACTCTTACAAGACTAACTCTTAGACTCTGTGACTTGAAGACCACCTTATTCTCCAGTATGTAAAGCCCATCCACCATACATCCTCTACCAATCGTCTTCCCCGAGGCCAGATCTTGGATCGCACAGTAAGAAGGGAAAAAGTCACTGAGCAGTTTAAGGAATTAGTAATACTACTAACAGAGAACAAATTAATGGGAAATTTTAAGACATGTAAAACATCAGACAGGGTAAGGCCAAAAGGAAGAGAAATGGTTCCTTGACCAGCTATGGTAGTGTATGATCCATCAACTAGTCTCACCTTGTCTCTTCCAGAAAGGAGGTGATAGGTTTGAAAGTAAGAGGATGTACCAGTCATGTGTTTAGATGCTCCGGAATCAATGATCCAAGGAGTGTCAGGGGTATGAGATGCTACATGGAAAGTTGTGGCAGAGTTACTTGATGTGGACGCAAATGAAGTTGAGGGAGGAGCATCCATCTGACGAATTGCTCTACCATAGAGCTCTAAATGGTCACAGAAGGAATTAATAATATCCTCCATTGGGTCAGATCCAGAGGTGTGAGTTGGAGTCATAGTAGTAATGGGGGGCTGATTCTCTTGAGAAGCCATGTTTGCCATTGTGTTATTTCTTGTACTTTGCTGTCCTGACTTTTTATTCAGATCTGAACCTTACTTCTTACTCAAATCTTGAGCCCATTTCGGCTTCCCATGAAGATCCTAGCATGTATCTCGGGTGTGTTGGGGTTTCTAGCAATGAGTACACCACAGTTTGTCTTTGTCATCTGCCCTTTTTTGAGAGTCCCCCCTCTTAAGAGGTATTTCCACCACTTGTAATCACACTCCCTTTTGCTACCAACCCAATTGCATCCCCTCCAGAACTATTCATCAAATTCCTTCTACTTTCTTCTGATTGTACAAGAGCATAAACTTCCTGGACAGAGGGAAGATCCTTATTACCTAGGATTTGAACTCCGATAGATTCATATGCAGGATTCAAGCCATGTAGGAAAGTTAACACTCTCTGCTGAGAAACAAGTTTCTTGTGTAATTTTGCATCTTCATCACACTTCCAGTCCACACTCTAATAATGATCTAGCTCCTTCCAGACAGAGGTCAAGTCTGAGTAGTACACAGAAAGGCACCTCTCCCCCTGTTTACAAGTGGTCGATTCTGCCTGTAACTGATAAATCTTTGCATAGTGACGCAGCTCAGAATAGGTTGATTTTGCTTGTTCCTAGATTTTATTTGCCGTTTCAGCCCACATAAAGTTCCTTCTTATTTGAGGTTGCATAGACACTAAAAGCCAGGACATGACCATGCTGTTTTCCTGGTTCCATCTGTCATATTCAACACTCCCAGAATTGGGTTCTTTGATTCTCTCATTTATATAACCTATCTTTCCCCTTGCAGTAATGTACAATTTGATCCCTCTTGACCATTCTAAATAATTTAAACCGTTGAGAGGAATAACAGCCATGGGAAAGGATAGGTCCGCACCCCCACTCATTCCATTCTGCATTGAGGAAACACCGGGCGTAGCAGAATCTTCACCGCTCATGGTTACAGATTCAAAAAACTCTTAAAGTGGGAGCAAAACCTTAAAAAAAAAAGGCCAACACCAAGGGAGAAAGGAAGCCCCCTTTTTTTTTCTTCAGAAACGCAACCCCTTTTGATAACACCAGGTGCTGTTACCCCCCTTTTTTGATGAACACAGGTGCCGTTACAGCACTAACAGGCCATTTTTTGATATACACAGGTGCTGTTACAGGGCGGATGGGTCATTTCTTGACCTACCCATCAAACATAGATGCTGTTATAGCAAGTACAGGTCACTCTGACCTTCAGGTTCAGCATCAAAACTGCTATTGCAGCACATAAAAGGTCTTCACCGACCTAAAGATTTTTACAGGGGTCAGTCGACCCCACAAAAAAGGAAAGACAGAGGTGCTGGTCACCTCACATCCAACCAGCAGACCTAGTACAGGTTCTGCCCTGGCGCACGACCAGAAAAAAGAGGGAAGGACAGAGATTACTTCAGGCGTGAGAAGGAGACTTGATTTTCAATCACTTGAACTGTAGATGATGGTGGCAGATCTGGAAGTCTGGTATGATCTCTTCTTTTCAGATCTGATGGTCCCGCTCTGATACCATGTTATCAGTGCTGTGATGCAGGAGAGAAGAAGAGAGGAAGAAAGAAGAGAGAGAGAAGAAAGATTTGAGAGCCAAAAAGCATGCTGGCGGCGCCAGCTTTTTTGTATATATACTAGGGTGACAGCAACTAAAAAATAAGAGAATTACATATATACTAGGGTGACAGCAACCAAAAAATAAGAGAATTACAATAATACCCCTGCGGTACTATACTTGGATAAATAACAGCTTTTAACAAAGGCGATTGCCCAATGTTGGTCCCAGCTATCTGGAGTCTTGGGAGGACTGGACTAGATACAGACCTGACATTTGGCATTTTTTTTTGCACAAAGTGGTCACTTTCAGACTTGAACCTGCATTCTCACACTTGTCAGCCTGAGATTTTAGACTAGAATCCTAATCCAGAACACAGATGTTACTACAATTGCTTTTTATTACCATATTACTGTAATTGCTTTCTGCTCATACTTGTCTTTTACCAACAATGTTTAAGTTTGATATGGTTGTTATAAGAGTTTGTTCTTTGCACTATTACCACATTGTCTAAGTTATTTATGTCATTATTTTTCCAGGATGAAAAAGATGTGATTAGGAGTCTGGACCTCTTATACAGGAGGATTGAGGTACACATTCGTTTGGCCATACCTGTTTCCCAGTCTTATAAAGTTTTCCAATTTGAACCAGTTGATTGCAATGATGGATTCTAGTGTTCTAGTGTGCCTGCAAGCATTAAGCAACCCTTGGATGATGCAATCAATGCACTTTGTGCTATTTTCTAGTTTGTTATCTGGGTTCGTTTTGCCTTTTGAGAAAGGATACTCTTCTAATTTGTGCCATCTGCAAAACAACCTGATCCCCAAAATTTGTAGCATATTTTAATTTATTCTATCTAGTTTTGTGCATGTTAAATATGGGCCTCTAGTGTTTTCATGCTGATTGTGATATGCTTTCTGCATTTAATGTATATTCTGGTATTTGAGATCATCCATGCCTTATCCCACCTATATGGGGTCAGCTACATGAATCCCTTATATTTTTAAATAGTTTGCAGTTTTGATTTCGTTGGTATATCATTCATTAGCTTTCCAGTTATTTGTTAGACAGAGATTTTGAAACGGGAGGCTACTCCTGCAATGAGACTGCTCAATGATCTTCTGAATCTGCATGATGGATTTGATGATGAAAGATGGCTTAAGGAGTGCAGAAAGCGCATGGTTGATACCTTTCCACAAGAGGATCCATTTAGTATCCTAGTCCCAGCAGGATTTGACATCAATATGGTATGTGGCAGATATGCATCTTTTGTAATTGTATAACATGATGCAACTTGGCTAGTTGGCCCTGTGTTCGGTATATTGGATATATTCAGTATATCAGTTTACCGAAAAATGTATATCGGTTTACAACATTTTAAAGACTTAGCCTGTTCATATTAATTCTTTTGTTTAACCATCTGATAATGCAGTTATTTGCTCATTCTTGAATATATTTAATATGATATGTTGGCATCATTTATACGTTGCACACATGCATTGTTTGTAATTGCTTCACATCAATATGGTATGTTGCATCAAGTTAATTTTCATGGAATCATATAGAACACCACCTACCTTCCCTCACATTTTTTAGGTGAAGGATGCTGGARTTCTTTATCGCCTCCACTGTGGCATGGTTTATGGGTTTTCTATAAAGTGCCACAGTGTTCCTTAAAGTTGGTAAATGCTAGCTGTCCTGACATTCCTTTGTTCCATATTCCACTCATTTGGTGCCTTCCAATATTTTTTTTGATAAATGGTACATTCAATATGCTGTTCATCCACTTCTTGTTTATATTCTTTTGTCTTTAAGGCTGTCTGCACTGCCAATACTTTTCATTTGCCAAGCAGGATTTAACGTTCAAAATCTAAGGTTCCATGTATTCAATAGCTTATGATTGATACATGCTTTGTACTCATGTTCAACACAGTTTCTAAGAAAGAACATACTAGCTGCCAGAACAAAAGTTTGTGATTAATAGAAAATTAATCTTTTTTTTTTTTTGAAAGAATAGAAGATTAATCTTACTCTTTTTTCTTGGTCTGTAATCGATTATTTTGCTCGTCATCAGTAAGAAAAATTTTATGAATGGCATTTATCTGTGGGCACCGGTTCAGTATGTATTAGGTTGTTACATGATATAATTCATTTTCCAAACCATGCATGCTACTTATTTTGTCATTTATTTTCCCTTCTGTCAGCACCAAGGCCAATTGCGACCGCCATTAGAGGCTGATGATGTGCTACTGAGAGTAGATTTTGTCAGAGAAGTTGATGCATTGCTACAAGAGGTTCGGTCTGAACAAACTGAAGCAGAGGCTGCAGAAGGGTTTGATCCTGAATCTGTTGCAAGTAGATTGAAGCAACAGGAGAGGCAAAGGACTATACGCCAAGTAGAAGCCTTACTGGATCTTGCAATAACATTGAAATGGTAGCGGGGATATGATCCAGTGATTGCAAGAAAACCTTGATCATTGTTTCCCTTTCCCCAAGGTCATGAAGAAGAATTGAATGGGTTCACCAATGTCAGGATATTTCTCTGAACCTAGGCAAATCCTAACTTCACTGACCTGGTAAAATAGTCTTGATAGGGGCTAAATTAGTTTAGTTTGGGGGTCAGGGAGAGAAGTGGCACACCCAGCTCGTCTGTCCTGGGTTTCGCTTTTGCATGGATTGTTGGAGAAAGATTTACTTGCAGGGAAGAAAAGAACCGGAGCATAGCGCTTGCCATTTGGAGATTCTGTTCAGTTGGAAGTCCTGTTATGGGTTACTCAGTACAAAGGGTCCTAAGCCTCCTGGCCTCCTAGTGCAGTTAATTGCACTGTATACTGCATCCATGATGTTTGAAAGTTCATTTTCTGTTCTTAATTTTTTGTATACTTGTTAATGTGTGGACTTTCTTGGGGAATCTATAGATACATCTGTAGATTATTCTACGATTTCAAGAACAGATGTACTCAGCAGCTTTGTCTAATGTAGGCAGAGGAATGCTTGTTTCCATCTTTATTTTCTGCACTTGTTGCCATCACTAAAGTGCTGGAATCAAAACCTGCTAGTGCTGGATGTTCGTGGGAAAATGCCAAGGTTTAGCACATGCAAGATGATCCTGAGCATGTATGGTTAATGTTTCTATTTTTATACAATTAAATTAGCTTCTCTGGGTTCCCAATTCTTAAGCCAGTTTTTATACATACAATGCAACCACTGGTTAATACTTAATAGACCATCTCTTGCAGGGTACCTCAGGCACGCACTGACGCACATTACCCCCCTGGCTGCTTGTCCACATGAAACAAGTGTGCATTACGCTTTTGATCAAACATGCTCAACTCAGAGTCTGATGTTAAGTTATGACTCTTGTGCACTCAAGTTTTAACATTTATGTACTTAACTGATATTTTCAATCGCTACTAAATTTTATGTGCCTCAATCTCTGTTCTCTACCAAATTTCTTTCTGATAACACACCATCTACCGTGGCTGTCATTTTTTTTCCCGCGAGTTCAACATGACCAACCAAATAAGACCATCTTCATTACATACAGAAAGCAATGTCTCCAATTTAATTCAGTTCTTGTATCTACAATCTCTTCGAGCGCCAGAAATCTATATTATATATTACATCACAGCCAAACACATCACCACATAGGCCTAAAAGAACTCACGATCAGGAAAGATAAGCGAGGCTACAAGTGTCCAGACATACAGTGCTGCAGTGACCCACTCAGTACAGATCCTGACCCAGACTGACGTCCAACCAACATCAATCAAGTCTGAGCTACCTGATGTTGAGCTGGTCCACCCTGTAAGAAGCATGGCTGAATACATGCTAGCAAGAGCAAAAATCAGATGAAAAAATGTGTAGTTGTAGCTAACTGGCTGGGCTTCGGTTTCCTTCTTTTCCTTCTTTTCTTTTCCTGCCTCTAATTCATCAGATTCAAGAAGAGGTTGTTTCCCACCTGAAACCAGCATGTTAACCACCATTTTAAGCACTCTATCAAAAATAAAAAAAAAGAAAAAAAAACACCATTTTAAGCAACTCCATCAATATATTGGTCTTTGGGAAAAAAATGAAAATCAGGCTCAGGATGGCAGAATGCTGTAAGTGGTATTATGCAACAAGTACCTGACTTGGGGGAGGATGGTGGGGAAAGGAAGGTTGTAGATGATCCAGCTCGGACAGCAGAGTACAGGACAGAGAGAACTGTTGTAAGCATGCCAAGAATGAGGGTGCCTGTGGACACTGCTTTGGAATTCTTATGAAGACCATTGCATATGTAATCTCGAGGCTCACTTGAGAGACCAGTGTAGCACAAGTATGCACAATACACAGAAATCACTGATGCAGGCAAGAGGCTGCCATTCACCTGTTTATAAATGGTTCTTGGATTCATCATGTATTTCTCTTGTTTTTTTTTTTATCTAAATATAATATCCCATTTAATGACAAAAATGGTTTCCTTACCTTTGGATGTAGTGCAATAACTGCAAAAGAAAAAGCAAGAATAATTGTCATGACAAGGAAAAAAACATTGAGGCTGCAGTCATGGCCTGAGGGGTTGAACCAAATGAATAGAATTCCTGAGAAAGTAAATGCTGCAAGGTAGCAGCCGATTGATACTGCAAGTAAAGCAATGTACCTGTGATAACCATTGATAAGATTAGAATTAAATGAAAATTCAAACCAATAAAAAATAATAACAGAGAGAAAAAAAATTAGCAAGTTTCTATCAACCACTTCTGTTCATCCTTCTCAACCCATGCATCATTCCATGAATGTGTGAAGTCTAGTAATATAATAACTTGAACCAATAAAAACAACCCGGACCCAAATTTTGATAGTGTTTCTGCAGATAGAGTAAAGAAGCAAAGATCAGATTATGGAAAAAAATTGATAATTACCAAATTGCAACAGGAGAAATGGCACCAAAGTGACAATACATGGCACATGCAATGCAAAGTGGGATGAGGACCAGCCTCTTGGTTGGTGCCACCAAGAGGATATCTTGGTCAAAAAATGAGTTAATGGGGCAATTTTTGACCAATAAAATTTTCTTGGTAAAAACTACAAACACCAATTAAACATCACACAAGGTGCCATATGTATGGTAGGCCCGGGTGAATTTGTTTCCTGTACTGACATCTGATCGGGTTTGGGTCAGGAGATACCTTAAGTGAAAAAAAAGAATGGTATATATCTTAAAGAGGAGGAAAAGACCATTATAACTTTATTCCGCAAAGTCAATTCCAGTTACTAAAGCATAGAGGGAGAAAGCTGACCATAGATTGTGATGATGGCATTTGGAACAAAAAACATGAGGATGATGAGTAAAACCCACACAACAATCTTCAAGATCCATCCACCATGGTGCCATGAATCACGCTTGTCATTCTGGTCTTTGACACCAATCATGACGAGGGCAAATACCACAAAAAATAAGAAATTTCCCAAACTGACACGAAGAACTGCATTTGTTTGGAACCACTCCTTTGAGGGAGTGTGAGCATAAGTATTTATCCCTGCAAACATTAAACAAGTTGGCATACCATCAATAATCCCTCCAGCATCACATAAAAATATTGAGGAAGTCTTAATAGGGAATTTGTTTAATGGATAGACACAAAACATTCTATTTAAAAAGCAACTCATATAGTAACCACCACAAGTGCCTGGTCAAACACATCTTGGTTTTCTCCTTCCCCCTCTTCTGTCCATGAATATTCTTTTAGAGAAAGAATATTGAAAATGTTTACTCAAATAAGGATTTATAAAAGGATTAGGGCTTAGGACATCTTTAGTACAGAACAAATGATAAGAGCAATATTTGCCTTTTGACACCCAACTTATTAAATATTAATTTCAGCCAACTAGACTCTGAACATAAATAGGGCACAACTGTGAGCCTTCATTTCATAAGCTACTAATCCTGCAATCAGCTCAGACCGCCTCAGACAAAGGGTTTGGGAAAGGAAGGGCCATGTCAACCAAAAGCCATGTGAACCCTTTTGAAGGTGAAGGTAGAAAAACACCATCTGAACATCTACTGACATTTAAGGCAATAAACATAGTCACCTCAGATTTTCTGTCTGATCGGTTATCCTCTTCCACCTTCATGAAGCTCCTTGCTTGAAGTAACTCACTCCTCATTCTAAGTGAACTAGGAAATGTAGCAAACTGTTCTGTTTGAATGATAAAGCCTGTCCTTAAGCTTCCCAATCAAAAGACTTCCTGTCACATATGAGGGGGAACCACTGAAAGATTGACCACACGTCTCCCATATTAAGGATAAGAACACCAAGTGAAATGTAAAATGTGGATCTGTTTAGGACACCTTTCAAGGGAAATGGTATTGTTTGTTCGCCTTTTTTTTGGAGATGTAAATTGTGGATCTGTTTAAGCCACCTTTCAAGTGAAATGGTATTATTTGTTGCACCTTCTTCCCCATGGTTCCAACTTCCAACTCAACTGTAAAGACAGCTTATTGATGCTAAAGCTGACCAATCCACAAAGGGAAACCTGAAGTTCCTTGTGATAAGATTAAAAGGGAATGCAGGTCCCCACCCTTACTCCCGTAGAGACAAGTTACAAGGTCACTATCCTCAAAAATTCTTACAAGAAAATATCTATTATTAATTTCCGCATGTTGCTTCCAATAAAAGAAACTAATGTGTAACATGTCACACAGGTCCCAGCAGTCTGGTATAATCTCTGCCTTAGAAAGTAGTGGATCGAAAGTAATTGCCTCAACCAAAGGAGGCCAAGATAAATACTCACTGTTCAACCCTTTCAATATCAATAGAAAAAAAAGCATTCATTAAACAGAATCCATCAACACGAAACTAAGTCACCCAATGTTGAAGGCTGGCCAAAGTCAACTGCTAGACAATGGGTCTATATTGCACTTCAAGGCATTTCTAGTACCTGATTGTGCATCTCACAAGTCACAATTAACTAGATAATGAGCCAAGTCAACAATTCCTTGGAGCAACATTCTAGCATGAAAAGTCTCCATCCTCTGCAGTATGGGTGAAAAAAATTCCAAGTTCCAATAAAACCTCTAATTGTCATGCAGTCTTTACACCATCTTCATGGCATAAATGGTAGATACACACCATCATGAGAGGGCCCATATAAGTCTGTTGGTGAAAAAAAAGGGACATAAAATTGGTTTTGATAAGATTACATTCATACCAAGGCTTTTTAAGGTGGTGCAATTTCTCAATCAGGTCAGAAAGGTCTGTGCAACATCAGCAGGTAATTGACTCGATATGTCCTTGGTAAAACAGCCCATGTTTGATCAATAAACCATGAGTTCCTCCATCTCCAAGCAAGGGCACACTTCATCACTCTAATCAAAAGCAGGAGATGTACATATGTGACCAAGATGCTTCAGATGTGAATAAGTCTCTGAACAATTATGAATTCTTCTTCCAAGAGTCTTAGCATATTGGTCCAAAATAATAGTGTGCATTAAAGAAAAATCCCTTGCACCAATAACCAAAGTTGACATATGATGCCACACTTTCCATTGAGACATGCCAAATATTTCATGTTTGATTAATATTTGGATCTAAAGCAATTTCCAGACAAGACTTATTGGTCATCTCATCATTCAACCATACAAAATTCTTATACATTTTCGGTGTTCCTCAGGAACATAGCAAAATTCATTGATCCATCATTAAAAAATGGACACCCAATGGGTGAAGGATACCCTGAACTGGTTGATACCAACAGGCAGTCAGACACACAAAAGTTTGCCTTCTGATAGTGATATGCTGGTTATAGTGTACCTATTCTTGATTTTTTTTTTCAAGAATAGGGGTTTTTCTACTATTCTACTACTTTTATTAATAAAATCTCTTTGACTTCCATAACTGATAAAAAAAGTTTGTTTTCATATGGCTTCTTATCTCTGAACTACTTGTGGCAGTATCACATGCAAAATGCAGCACAAATGAGAGATAGAATGGAGCTTGATTGACTCAAATTACAGCTGTAGGAAATACCTGCCTAAAGATTTCCACACAAATGGAGCTTGATAATGCCGGAACTGGTTCCAGGAGCCAAAAATTACAAGCCTGAAGTGTTGAGCATGAGAATCAAATCTGAAAATTCCCCAATTTAGGATAAACTCAACAACTTATTTTCACTACTTCACTGTGGCAAGGATGGAACTTCAGTATATACTACATACTTAACATTTTTTTCCCAACAGTTAACTTCACCTGACCTGACACAACCCATTCCTGTTTTGGATAAATAAATTGACTCCTCTACTTCCTCAGTCTCAATAACTGCATCCAATCTTGGTCTGAATTGATGAAAAGAACTCCGTTATGCAGCAAATATTCCCAAATCATAATATTGCTGAGAGTTCTTGGTTTTATCTCTTACACAACTATAATTTGGTTTCTTCTGGTGAGTTACTGCTCACCTCAGGGATCCCATTGAGGGAGACCCGACCTCCTAGAGTGAAAAGGGGAAGAGGGGAATGGAACGGAAGAAATGACCTAATTCTCATGCCGTTTCATTAATAAAAGTGCCATATAAATAGGCATCGTTACAAATCATGCAAAAGGGACGTGCTTCTAGAAGGGCTGTGGGTGTGGCTTTCTGGTGTAAAGATATTTTATGGGGGGGGGGGGCGTATTGCGCCAGAGGTGCTGCCAGGTAGTGTATGTTAAGGGCCCGCGAATAGGATCTTGTCACAGGTCGGTTAACGGGGAAAACTTCCTATTTTCCCTTGTTTCTCCCTTTTCTCGAGGAACCTATCTTCAGTGCCTTAATGGTGATTTGTTAAAGAGATCACCAACTCTCCTCTGCTCTTTCTTGACTGGAAATATCGATAATTTTATTGAATATCATCTGCTCCTTTAAATAGGAAATTACAAGAGTCATTCTTTAGGAAAACTTCCTAACAAACATTTATCTCTAAATAGGAGATAATAATGCTACTAAATAAGAACACTGAATCTAGCTAAGAGATAAGATAGGAACACTGAATCTAGCTAAGAGATAAGATAGGAACACTGAATTTAACGCCCATTACTGCTGCTGTCTGCGACTGTATTTCTTTCCAATAAAAGCATCCGCAATATTACTCCCCTCCTGGACTAAGAGCTTGTCCTCAAGCTTGAATTCAGGATAGGTGTCTTGGAACACAGTCAAAGGAATCCAGGTAGCTTCAGCCAATGGTAAGCTGGCCCATTCCACCAGAACTTCAACACCACCTCGGTTAATTCTGGAACGAACAATAGACTGAGGTTGGGGAATGATTTTTCCCTCCTTCAAAGGTGGTAAGGAGGGAACACGTTTGAGCAAGGAAATGTGGAAAACATCATGAATCCTACTGTGCTTTGGAAGTTCCAGCTTATATGCAACCTCACCAATTCGCTGCAAAACCTTGATAGGCCCATAGAACTTAGGAGCTAATTTAGGAACAGCCCTGTGACTCAAAGAGCGCTGACGATAAGGCTGAAGTTTCAACCAAACAAACTGCCCATGTTCAAACGACAATTCCCGATGATGCTGGTCATAGGCTTGCTTCATGCGGAGTTGTGCCTGTTGTAAATGAAGAGAAATTTCAGCCAAAAGAGCATCTCGCTCTTGTAAGGAATGATCAATCTCCTCCAAACGAGTAGAACCAGGTTCATAGGACAACAAACGAGGAGGTTCACGGCCATAGACAACTCGGAAGGGTGTCATTCCTAAAGAAGAATGATAGGCTGTGTCATAACAATACTCAGCCCAAGGAAGCCAATCAACCCACCGTCTCGGTTGATCCCCAACAAAGCAACGGAGATACATCTCAATCGTTCGATTCACCACCTCAGTTTGACCATCTGATTGAGGATGATAAGCGGAAGAAAAGGCTAAGGTGGTACCACTTAACCGAAACAATTCCCTCCAAAAGGTACTAGTAAAAACTGGGTCCCTGTCGCTGACAATAGATTCCAGTAACCCGTGTAAACAAAAAATGTGAGTGAAAAAGACATGGGCGACAGAAGTAGCATTGTACGGATGAGAAAGAGGGATGAAATGGGCGTACTTAGAGAAGCGATCCACCACTACATAAAGAACTGATTTTCCCCCAACCTTGGGCAGTCCCTCTATGAAATCCATGGAAATATCAGCCCATATCTGCGTTGGGATCGAAAGGGGCTGAAGAAGACCAGCTGGATGCAGATTTTCCCATTTGTGTTGTTGACAAATAGAGCAGTTTTGTATAAAGTCCCTAATAGAGGCCTTCATACCTTGCCAATGGAAATCAGCTTGGACGCGATACAATGTTTTCTGAATGCCTTCATGGGTGGAGTTATGAATACTGGAGATGATGGAGGGAATCAAAGAGGAATCAGCCGGGAGATATATTCGACCCTTATACATCACAAGCCCATCTGTAAGGGCCCAATTGGAGTCTGCAGTTCTAGACTGAATTTTCTGAACAAGAGTCGTCCACTCTGTTGATTGTGGCATCTCTTTCTTGATGTCATCCAATAAGGTGACTCGAGGACGT